GACACACACACACACACACACACACACACACACACACACACACACACAGAGAGACACGCACACACACACGCGCACACACACACGCACGCACGCACGCACAGACGGACAGACAGAGAGACATGCACACACATGCGCACAGACACAGATACATGCACACAGACACGCGCACTCATTCACTCATTTTTTAAACAATAACAAACAAAGGTACGCCATTATTTTAGTTAAACTGTAGGATAACCAGTTTTTCAGGCATTCAGGCAACCTAGGCATTCAGCATTAGCAGTTCATTGCACTGCGATTTATTTTACGAACACTCGTTTCTGCATTATCCGACATTTTAATGAATTTTCCGATACATACACATTAATTACTTAACCAAGTAATTACTTAAGTAACTTATTTATTTATTTATTTTTATTGGTTATTATTATTATTATTATTATTATTATTATTACTTTATTTTCTATTTATTTACATTTTTATTATTTATTGTATACACACATAGATTAAAAACAGCATGATGCATGCACGTATCAATGGGTCAGTATCAATACGTCGCCCATGCTAGACTACGCACGTTTATTTTCCTGCCTGGATCGTCCTCTATAAGTTGTCGTGTTATGTCCTTGCAGTCAGTATTGCCTTCAGTATCTATCTCCCAATTTCGCTCAGGAGCGTTGGCGTATAAGCCTGCTGGTGATGCGTCCATCACTCGGGCTGTTGTTACGAGCCCGGTTGATTTACCTGAAGTAAGATTACTTAGCTTTATTCATAACTAGCTTTTCTCCCCCACCTCCTTCTCTCTCACTCTCTGCCCCTCCTTCCCCATCTTTTCTGTTTCTTTTGCCCCCCCCCTTTCGCTCTCTCTCTCCTTCTTTCTCTCTCTTTCTCGCTAGCTCGCTCTCTCTCTCTCTCTCTCTCTCTCTCTCTCTCTCGATCTCCTTTTCGCTTAGTCTATCTCTCTTGATCTGTCTTTCTCTTTCTCTCATTTTCTGTCACACTGTATTATCTATATATTTTACACACTCATATGCACATACAAACAGAAACACACGCACAGGTAAGGTAACACTAGAATACCTCAGCACACGCCAGAACGCAAGCGTGGCACAGACACACGGTTAAGAATAAGGTAGACACATTTACGCGTGATCAAACACATGAAGCACATGAATGTAATAGGGTTCCGATGTATTGTATGTGATGGAATAATGTTACTCAATGCTGATGTAACCTGCACACAGAGAATGACATCGCATGTGTTTTGGGAATGATGTGAGAGGATATACACGACTAGCTTAACTTACTACTAACACATACATAACTTTGGATGTAGTTGTTGCTGTTTGGTTTTAGGTATCTTTGTTTCAGAAATACTATTAGTTAGGGTAAGAACTCCTTAGGCATTTCTTACTTGCTGGAACAGCTTAATTACCTTCAGCCTGGGCCCAGTCACAAATAGAAAGCACTGTCGCCCCTTCTGCCGATGGACAATGTCCTCTTTCCACTAGAGTATCATCCAGACCGATGGTTCCTTTTTTCCCTTTAACTCCAGACAGATAGGCTGTGGCTGTACCAGCAGAATCGGGAACTTGGAAGTCTGTATTGTAGGTCTAATGTGAGAATGTAAACATAGAAGAATGAAGAATGTGAGTATCTATAATGTTATATTATAGAGTGCATGTATTTAATTTAAGATGCAAAACAAAACTTTTTTAAAGTATACGTATCTCTAGATTTATATATTAATATAAGATTATTATAATAAATGTAACGTTGAGTCATTGGAATGCAAGCTAATGAAACTGTAGCCATAGCCAATAAACGTGTTAAATATAGCTAAACCCGCATGATAAATCGCTCATATACGTGATAAAACACACTTCCACATGATAAACCATAAAACTACTGGTAGATGAGTGCTTAAATAATGAAACAGAAAGATTTCTTACGCGGCTCCCCGGAAGGACCTAGCTGCCACTGCCTACAAATATATTAAAAATTTACCCCCTATGACCCGTGACCTCTACTTTCGCAACAAGGTGTTTTATGATCAAACAGGTAAGGATTAAGGAGAAATTCAAATTTGTGTTGGATCCCCCACCGAGACTTTGCGATTTACCCGGTGCTTATTGTTTTCCCAAACAGTCGGTTACATTATTTCACATAATTATATTCTTTAGAAGAGTACGAAATATTGTGACGAAGAGTAGTAGAATCGCATAAGTAAGATATTGCGCATTGAAATCGAAATTAATATATGCGAGCGTTGACATACAATAATACATGTACCGCGAACGATGAATGAAGCCAATTAACTTTATAGAAAAAAAGGAAAATGCCTATACTAAGCATTATCCTCTTTTGATAACATACAAATTACTGATTCTTTTACGCATGCAAATAACGGGTTGTGTCACTTTAACTGGCATTACATTTGCCGAAATGCGATACCTTTGCAAGTCCGGTGTGCTGCCATTTTTCCCACTCAAGAAACTCCTCCTCTCCTGTTTTTCCTTCCATTTGACCTTTCAGTATCCTGCCAGCGAACTGTGACGGGAGGCCCATGCCATCGCCGATGAATAATATAGCATTCTTAGCAACGCCGCAGTTATATTCTGTGTGTAGGTACTTGTTTAAGAGAGCTTGAGTTTGATCATTCCAAAATTGCGCATCTGCGAATAATAGATATATTAATGATTATTAAATATAAGGACATTACACGTTTTATTTTGATTATTAAGGGCATTAATAGGATACGATTTAGAAAAAACAATATATATATATATACGCACGCCCGTGTGTGTGTGTGTGTGTGTGTGTGTGTGTGTGTGTGTGTGTGTGTGTGTGTGTGTGTGTGTGTGTGTGTGTGTTTGTGTGTACAGGTGTGGTGGCTGACTATGTGGTGTATCACTATACTGGTGTCACCTCTCTACACATGATATCTCTGCGCCATGCCTGACTTCACAATGCCTCTCTACCTAGCGTCTCGCAGTGTCACCAACTCAGCTCCTCTGCACGAAGCGCCATCTATCCGCACCAGTAGCAATTATTACCAGTAACAGATACCCGACGGTCGATCACGGATACGCTTTTTCTTGACACGCACATTTTCTAGATTCTGAGTTCTTCTACGATAGAAGACCCCAGCTGTGCAGCCCGCTGCTAAATGCTGAGCGTGTCGGGGATCGTTACATGAATAGGTTCACGATTCAGTTCAGAGAACACGATTTCACGCAATGGCGGAGCGGCAACAATGGCGGCGGTATAACACATGCAGAAGGCAGAAAGGTTCGATATGATATGACTACTAGGCACTTTCATTTAATTAATTTTTTTTTTTTTAGGGTTAGGGTTAGGGTTAGGGTTTTTTTTCAAGTGCCTAGTAGTCATATCCTAAGTGCTTAGTAGTCATATCATATCGCACCTATCTGCCGGGTGCATAGCACATATCAGTGCTGCTGCTGTCGTTAATAAGGTCATATGTAGCCGTCGCTGCGGCGGGGGGACTTCACCGCCACCATCCCCGCCGGATATCATCGCCGGCGAGCTAGCATTTGTTCTGTCAACGCAGCGGCGTAATTAAAATGTCGCCGCTTCCGCTTGAAAGGTTACATCGCAATCAGTTTTAAATTGCTTAGTTAAAGCTCTGACAGGTAGCATCCATGACGTATCGTAGAAGGGCTGTCGGCAGCGCCGCCATGCGGACGTAACAAGTACCTTGTATGGGATTTGTATGTATGACGTTGTTGTTGTTGTTGGTGATATATTCCGCAGTTTTCGCCTGCGTCGGTCAAACGTGATGTGTGAGCAGTACGGTATAGCTGGGAGTCCCCACCCCACCCTTCCTTTATAATGTCATTAGCGTCGTCCTTCCCATCTTCTCCTCCCCATTATTTATTTGTTTATTTATTTATTTATTTATTTATTTATTTATTTATTTATTTATTTATTTATTTATTTATTTATTTATTTATTTATTTATTTATTTATGCACTGATTTACCTATCTGCGAGATGACGCCAGTGCACAGCAATAGACGGACACCACGCCTCACATCGCTGTGCTCGGCGCTATCCCCCCATCCAGAGAGACATGATACAAGATTGCGTGGCACAGCTTTGCTGTTGATCCTAAGCGCTGCGCGCGGATGAGACGCGCAGTTCCGCGGGATATGCGCACGAGACCGCGGGGATGGTCAAGTATGAAGCGCTGTCCGCAGTGGAGACGTGCGCCAAATTGGAGGCCCGGCGCACGTCTCCACAGCGGTCAGCGGATGGTCTGTACTTTTAGAAGATGACAATGATTATATATGGACGATATTGTCGGAATTTGAGATTAGAAAACAGTAACAAAAATCGCTGAGTCATGCTCTAGATTAGCTGAATAAAAACGATTAG